TGAGAATTTTATTTATTTAATTTTAACACATAGATATTGGTACAACGAGGCACCAAATACATATTCGCCACACAAATCTCATTTGATACGTGCGAAGGCTGTGATACTGTCCGGGTGCCTAAACCGAAGCAAGTCGTTTTCTAAGGAGGTCACACCCTGAGCCTTCGACATGAAGGTCTGATCCACAAGGCAGTGGAGCAACGTGAGGAGATGCAGTCCCATGGTAGTCGGTGACCAACGATTGGTTCATACGCCATTTGTTCCTTCAAGATACTGGAGTCCATGTACACCATGGTTTGCAATCAGGGTTTTGCAACTCCCCTAGGTGGATTCTCCAAGTCCACCAACCCAGTTAAAGCGCAGGACATTCGTTTTTCGTCATCTCAACTTTGTAAACAACAGTAATTCCACGATAACGCAGTGAGTGGGACTTCTCTGACAGAGGCTATATACGCGTGGCCATATGAGACCATTTCGAGAGGGAGAGCGGCTTTTCCCCACTCTCGGCTGTACTAGGGCATTTGGGGGCATCTCTGGCTAGAGATCCGTGAGAATATCAAACATTTGTGAGATGTATAATCATTGAAAACTAGAGAATAATGAATAGCTATCCTTACTAACTTCCTATTCATCATAATTATCCATTTATACATTTCAATTAAAATTAGATTTGAGATTTTTGAGTATTATGACAAATTTAGAACAGTCAATTAAACGTTTTGTTTTCTGTAATGATGAGTTCGTTTTTGTTATGTCATATGTGAACCTAAAGTTCTCACGATAGATTAGTCATATTGTGATGTACGTTAATTGTTTGGACGGAAATAAGTAGTATATAGTATGAATTGAAAGTGGAATGCTGATCAACAGAAGATGGAACTAAAGGGACGTGAAGGAAAAACAGAGAGGCATCGGAATAAAAACAGGATTAGAAGGATGATAGAGAATGTAATGGACAACTCAATGAAGATGTGAAGATGTATTGAAAGTATGACTTTTTTTATATTTTACGAACGCACTATTTAATCCTGCATAAAACAATGAACTAGTTTTCGCCACCTAGTCTTCATTGACTACAGTATGAATTTTTTTATAAATTGTGGCCTTGTGCCCTGTTAATATATAACCGACTGGAACAATAACGCATAAACACGCACAAGCAGTCTAAAGTTTTTATCGGTACTTCTCCCTGCCTGTATTTCAAACATACTGGGTTTATGAACAAACCAAACAGATCACATCGCATTATCCACTAAGCTACTAAGTTCTGACAGCCACGTGCTTGTGCAATAGGGTGAAGTTTAAATCCATCATTCATTTTTGCTTAAAAAGCTTGTGATCTAAGGCAATATCGAGGCAGTTCGCATAGGATGCACATATGCCAATAAGAGACTGATCAATTACAGTCCTATACAACAATGGAAATATACAAACAACCAACACCAAGTGAATTCAAATTTAACTTTCTTCATTGGTTTCCTTTAAAATTTAAATTGATGAATGAAGTTCAGATATTAATGAAACTATTATGCAAATACTTCCCAATGTCATTGATTATGTACTTACCAAGGTATGCATATTCTTTTTCAGTAACTCCCCGTTCATATATATATGACGGGGATGAATGGTTAACTGAGGTCAAGGTCAGAGGGATGGGTTCAAGAAAATCGAACTAAATGGATGCCGTATTATGCCATACAGAGAATTCTTTGGGAAAGAAAAGAGAATAAATGAAATAGGTCATGGTCAAATAGTAAGAATAATTTCTATTTTCTAAAGAAAGGAATTGGCATAAATATCTTACATCAGATAAGTTTGATATTCCAACTACAATTTCACAAATGTTAGTCTTAGATGAAATGAATTACTGATTAGTTCTTTGACTGTATGACTCTATTTTGTCCAAGGTTTTTTGAAATGAAAATGAAATGAGTGATCTAATATAGAATATCACAAATCATTCAGTACAATTTGGTATAAAGTTATATTCCTTCCCCCTCCAGTCCTACTTGAAATTGTAAACCGATATAATTCTCACTAATCCAAGTAAGAACAGAAAAGACTGATGTAATTGAAGATTTATTAACAAAACCAAAAAAAAAAAACACTTCAGCACTGTTGTAAATGGGATTATGTCTTTGTACTTCAACACGAAGACTATGAATCAGACAATTCAATTAAGGTACGAAGACGTTCGATGAGGATTTATTTAACACACAAAATAAATATTTGAATAAACTAAGTTTTACATTTATTAACACTGATTAATTGTCATATTACTGTACGTTAGCCGGGGCAGTTACTTGCTTAATTATTTACGCCTGTTACACCTCGTCAAGGAGCATAGGCTGCCCACCAACCCTATCCCAAGTAATCCTTTCCTGTTCTTTCCACTTGCTATTCATCCTTTTCATGTTTGATTCTAATAGTGTGTTTTTAGGCCTTCTTCCTTTCCGTTTCCCTTCAGGGTTCTAAGTTACGGCTTACCTCATGATTCAGTTTGGGGATTTCCGCAATATATGTTCTATTCACTTGCATCGTCTTTTCCTAATTTTCTCTTGGACTATAGGCTGGTTTGTTCTCTAATACATTAGGCTGTTCCTGATGGTAATCCGACCAATGGATATTGATTATCTTGAGTAGACAACTCTTTATAAATACTTGTACCATTTTTGATAATGGTTATACTAGTTCTCCAAATTCCAGCTCGATACAAACTTCAGTTGACTTCTACCTGAAGTTTGTGCTAATGATGTCGTTCAGAAGAACGATGAGAGCTCCACAACGAAATCATCCAGCTCTGAGAACAAAACTCCATCAAAATCATCCACCTGAGCTACAAATCTTCTCTACCATCTTTATTTCATTGTCAACTTGGCAACCTGTTTGAGTATCTGGGTCACCTGTTCCTATCATCCGGATATTTCAACAAGTTATTTATTCTTGTTTGTCCTAATACATTATTATATCCACTAATCGCATAACTTATTGAGATACCTTTCTGAAATGTGTACAACCTTTCTTTGTACAAGTTACAAAAGGCCCAATCAGAGATGTCATGGTTTCAGGCAATATGCAGATAAAAGATTGTACATTATTTAGATGTCGATTGAGTGAACTGCTAACATCTAACTGGTGATCAATCAATATTTATCGTTAGGATCGACCAAGAAGTAAGGAACGGAAACGTGTTGAAATAGTTTGTACTGAGAATTCTAAATTGTACCCAAGTAATCGAACCCAGGACCTATCGATCTCGTACGCGAACGCTTAACCTTTAGACCACTGAGACGGCATCTAACGGTGTTAATATCTAACTTTAATTAATCCATGGAATTGAGCGACACATCCGCCATTCTTTTCAGTGAGTTACTATTTCACAACAGACCCGGTTGCGCACTACTGAGGAGTCCCACAATTTGGCAAAACACCCGTCCAGTGCTTCCAGGTTTTCTATAGTGATCTAGTTTCAATTAACTCATGATCTCAACCATTAATAAATCATATTTGATTAGGAAATTTCGATTATCATTAGGGATTTGAGTAAACCGTTAGTTGATATTCATTTTACCTAGAAAATAGGTGCGTTAATCATCATTTCTCATGTGACAGTCAATGAAACTCATTTTAAAGGAATTAGTCTCATTTGAAAACAAAATATCAATGAAATGTGAGTAATATTACACCTACGATGTAGTATGGTTTCCTGTAATTGAGCGAAAGCTGTCAGTTAAGTTCTAGTGTTCATGTACTCCACCATTTCAAGACTGTTATTAATTGGCTTCTCAAACCGAAATCGATGAAATACAAGGTTTCTCATTTGTGATCCAATCTACTGAAGTCCATTAGTCTGACTATTATGTAATTTATAATATAGCGTTTTTAACTGAACATAAATCTCATTCTTCAGTCAAATATCTAACATAAAAGGTAGATTATGCAAATTAACGACTAAACTATAATGAATAACACTGATTTGCATATTTCAATATTTTTTTAGTAGAATATCTGCTATAATTCAGTGTACGACTGTGGTGTGTGCTACTTATATTGACATAAGTAGTAGATGATGTTACTCGTGAACAGAATGTCTGGCAGTAGAGAGACAAGAGGATCGAACAGTAAAGAATGGAAACAAAATGCAATTTCTATGAAAATGCAAGAACAATGAAGTCTAAGTCATTATGAGACAATTGATGGACATTTTTCAAATTACGTATTTACTTTATGATGGTTAGATTTTATTAACAAGTCCTGTAATTTTGTGTTTAATGCATTCGATTGTCCTCACCAGTGTTCTGTTCACTACACTACTACTACTACATAATAATAATAATAATGGAGTGAAGGCTCACTGATTAAAGTATTCAACTTCCATCTATCAACTCGTACATTGAACTTATGCTCAACCTACTACAGTTTAGACAACTAAATAGTATTATAAATTTTCGCAATTAGAATATGGCTTAAAGCCAAGTATTTTATACGAATTTAATGTAACACCTTATTCCATCATCTTTACATCATCGTCACACAACCAGGATAGGATACTCTAGTAAGAATAAAGATAGAATACTACTACTCACTGCCTTCTCATGGCATTACTGTTGTTCATGAAATTGAAAGGATGAAAAGCGAATGTTCGGCGCTTTAACCGGGTTGGTGGACATAAAGAGTCCACTCAGGGGAGTTGGAAAACCCTGATTGCACATGCAATTCAATATCCTGAGGGAACAAATGGCGCATGAACTAATCGTTGATCACCGACTACCATGGGACTGCATATCCTAACGTTGCTCCACTGCCTTGTGGATCAGACCTTCAGGTCGAAGGCTCAGGGTGTGGCCCCCTAAGGAAACCACCTGCTTCGGTTTGGGCATCCGGATAGTATCACAGCTTTCGCACATATCAAATGAGATTTGTGTGGCGCATATATATTTGATGTCTCCTTGTACCAATATCTATGTGTTAAAATAATAATAATAACAGAATACAATACATGACAATAATAACATTTCAATATAATTTAAATTAATTTATTATTTACTGATAAAATCAGATTTGTCATTTTGTTTACAATACATACAAGATATGTATGTATAATAGTAATCAGTACAAATATTATCATCAGTTGTAATAATAATAAACATGTAAGTCAACATGAATGAAAAGATCAACTAGACGTAACAAGAACGAATAAACACTTTACCTTTGAAAAAAACAACAGAAAAGGCAAAGAAGCAGACAAACAGAAAACAACAATCCATCTTTTTCAACTGAAAAGATGAGTTAAACAACAAAAAATATATAAAGAGTTTGTTGTAGATCGTGAGGGAGGAGGAGGAGGAGAAGAAGAGAACAACAAGGAGAAATGAAATACCGAGATCAGACAAAGAAAGTTAACGAGAACAGAAACAAAATATCAACAAGAATAATAATTATGATAGTAAACAAACAAAAAAATTATTATTACACAGAAACTTGGGACACAAACGTACACAGTATTTAGTAGTAGTAGTAGTAGCAGTAGTAGTACTAGTGGTAATAGTGAAAATAAAGTGGTAATAGAGTTTCATATTGAAAGACTTATTGTTGTAGAGAATACAAAGAAGGAGAGGATTGAATATGAAAGTAGAATAACAATTAAATAAGTGAATTAATCCTAAAAAAAATCTTTTAGAAAACAAACTATCCGATAAGAATGAAGTTCGCAACAGCTGATTGATCCAAATGGAACGCTAGTGTCATCTATGTGTAGCTGACAGGATAAACATTAAAGCGAAAAGAAAAGAGAGAAGAAGAAAGAAGATAGACACCTAGATTAGAACAAGAAAATAGAAATGCATACACACATGCACTACATGGATCAGAGTAAGTGAATGAAAACAGAATGAGATTTTAAAAGAGACAAACAAATTAACATGTGTATCTCTAAAAAGCAAGTTAAATAGAGTAGAATACTGGCAGAAATAAGAAAGTCAACATGTATAGCATGTAACAGAGAGAGATGGAAAAAGTGACAGAGAAAATCAAAGAAGAGGGAAGGAATAAAACATTGTGTGGTATACCATTATTGCCACATGATAGTATATCATGAAAATCTAGAACCACATTAGAAAATAATGAGATAGTGATAACAACACCAATGAACTTTTAGTTACATGAATGACAATTGAAAAGAGAGGTAGTAGTGTATATTTTTCGGAAGGAGAAGCAAAAATAGGTAAAAAAAGGGGGGGGGTAGTAATAGAGAGTATTATTCTTTTTTTTTTCTTTTCTAAATAATGAGATCAGATATATAGTCTGATAAATTGTAGATACTGTTTAGATAAATGATAATGAACTATACATACAAAGAGAAAGAAGAAATACATTAATAAAGAAGGATATATACAAAAACAAGTGTATCTATTAACTTGTTAGATAACACTGTAATACGCTTGTATGTGCTGTGTGTGTTTGCACGCGCGTTTTGATCTGATAGTGTTGGAACAAAGGAAGAAAAATCAACAAACAAGACTATGGAAATGAAATGCAACAATAATACGAGACACATAATGATAGTGATAATGATAATAATTACATCTTGTATACAATAATATCATGTATTCATAGTTGATTGATCTGGTGAAAATTTCTCTGGATTAGAATATAATACGAAACTATTTAATTCTGATGTTAAATGACCAAGTGTTTCAACCATTTTTGAAGCAAGTTGAGTTAAATGAGTTAATTGTACTTCTAAATTATGTAATTCTGAAGTAGATGTAGATGATGGATGATTCATTCCAGCACGGCGTATAGCTGGACCAGTTTGTAAATCAATTAATGCTAATCGATGATAAAGATGTATTGTTGACAAGAACAAAAAACCTAAACTAGAAAAGAAAATTAAGAGAATAAATGGAAGAATAATAAGTGATGATGATGATGATGATACCTAGACATTTTGTGGCGAGACTATAATTTATGGGACGAATCAATCAGGTATAAGATAACAGATCTCGGATTTTGGTGCGGAATTCACTCATCATTTTGGTTAAATAGAATTTTGGCATTATAGTTGATGTCAGTTCATGGTGAAAACCCTAAATATAAATCCTAATCTTAACCATCAACTGTAAATCATAATTCGAATTCATGGCACAGGTTTATAATCTTCATATGGTCCTAGTTATTAGATGGAAACTCTGAAGGTCAGTCTAGGGTCGTTTAAAAGTCATTCATAAATTATAGTCTCACCTATTTTGTTATCTGAAACTTCAATAATTAAAATGATTATAACTGACATACATGTACAAGTAGTTGTTTTGGTGGCAACTCGAACTGATGTACGTACGTACGAAGTTCTACGTTGTTACTGACTGACTGACTGAGTTGTTTTGTGAGTTAATCAACATTGGATTAAGTGAATTGTTAATTTAGTTAAATGATAGCCAAATTTTGAATTTCTTCATTGGCTACGAACTCATTCATAAATAACATTGGAGATCAACATTTAAAGGAAGATAAAGAGTGAATGAATTTGACTGACTGTAGACGATTCTGACCTATCACATCCAATGTTTCCAACTACTGACTGTGGTTATTATGTGGACCCTAACTAGATAGAGTTTGATCTATCTTAAAGGTTCAAGCAAACGGTCAATGACATGTCTTGGTTCGACTACCTCTATCATTCTCCTAGCATAGTTTTACATCAATCATCGAAGTAGATGATGGTTAGGCATTGTCATCTTAGTCGATGAGCATTTACAGTTTAGTCAACCGATTTTTTGTACTTACTTCCTCAATTGTTCTATGATACAGAAGCAATGCTCCGAAGACACCCATGATTCAAAACGTAAAGCCTATGTATATATTTTATTTCCATACACCATATTTGACAACTATAAAGTAAACCAGATCGAACTGGTGTGCAGTATAATTCCTCTTTGGTTTGCAGATAGATATCTTGACTATTCCATAAAAGATAAAAGTCAGTAAACGCAAATTGAGTTTTTAGTATCCGTGTTGAGATTTTATCAAACTATACTATTCAACTAGCCATTCTGTTCTCTAAATAAAGGTGAATAGAATAGGATTTGAAGTTACAAATAGGTGATTGGAATTCCAGAGTTTTATGCCCTTTAGCCGTTGCCCCACAGTACATGTAAACGCTAAGTGAATTGACTAAAATATTGGTCATACAACGTATCAGCCAGAAATGCTACTGTGGTGTTTAATATATCAAGTAGCAAACAATAGGCTTTGGAACCACCAATCTACAAGATATTATTGTTATTACTCAGTGATTATCAAACATTGTACAAATGAAGAGTTCATTTATTGTGTGCAAGTATTAAGAACTTTAAGCTATATTTTTTCGTGTATGAGGACTATTGAAGCTGAAATAGACTAAGAATGATTCGAATTCGTGACCTAACAGTTGGAAGCTAAATAATGTATTAACAACTGATTCACAGCTTCATTACTAATTCGAAAAGAACGAAACTACTCAACTAAACAAAGGAACACAAGATCATAACAATGACATTGAGCATATAAAAAAGATTCAAGGAACTCGTTATCTACCAAATGGAAGATAAGAGAAATTTTTCAGTAATTAGTGAAACTTCAGTCTATGAAGGAGGAACAAAAGGAATTGAATACAGCAGCCTTGAGTGCTGTTAGAGGTATGAGGGTGGTTATCACTTCCCGGTTGCCCACACCGTGGAAGGTTTCGTCTGGAGGTACCTGAAAAGAAAATTGGATTAGGGGTGGTCTTAGTGACCTGAGAGCGTGACCGCAGTGCCCGAGGGACAACTGCTTGAGGTCGGTCGCACACGACCTTTTTATGAGTAATTTTCGTGCTAGCTTCGTACTTGTTGAGACCTTACCGCCGGAGACGGATATCCGTGGGATTAGGCGAGGTGTGCATTTTTAGCGTCCACCTTCTCCAACCCCACCCCCTCCTTGTGGGAAGGCAGCATCGCCGCCATGCTGGTTGTCTGAAAGAAAAACCTTACTGCTGTCACACCTCTGTACAGTCAGCAGTACGACTTCGCCATCAAACCTTGGGTTTGTTGCTTTTAGTCTTACCGCTCTTCAACCGACCTGTCTAGTATGGTAGGACCTTGAAGAACGTTTGTTCTGGCCAGTATAGCTCGGTCGCTTCATCACGATAGGTAAGCCCGACCACCACGTCAAGGTAGCAACAACAGTCGGGATTAATGAAAATTATAAACAATTTAACAATTATTCATGAATATATATACCCTGGAAGGGGATAATTTAACACTGGTTTTCAGAAGAACAAGACACTATACAGTCTCTTTATAACATGAACAGTACAGCTTAAACGTGTGGTACAACCACACAGTTAATAAGATCCTTGATGGATTAGTAGTTCAACAAACACTCATAAAACAATTAATCTTATGGTAACTTTTATAAATTGAAAAAAAAATTCCCTATTTTCTCAACAACAAATCTTTCAACTTATTACTACTGTTATATTGATGATACCGGATACCATTAGCAACAGCCTAATATGTGAGACGACAAATCAGATTCCAACTGAAGAGGAAATTAGGAAAATACGTTGGAAGTGGATAGGATATACACTACAGAAATCACCAAACTGCATCATGAGGTAAGCCGTAACTTGGAATCCTGAAGGGAAACAGAAAAGAGGAAGGCCGAAGAACACACTGTGTCGGGAATTAGAAGCAAACATGAGAAGGATAAATAGCAAGTTGGAAGAACAGGGAAGGATTGCTTGGGACAGGGTTGGATGGAGAGTGCTGGTGGGCGACCTATGCTCTTCGACGAAGGGTAATAGGTGTAAGTAAGTAATATTGACTATGCGATTACATTATAATGGATATATTGTGATTAGTAGTATAAGTAGATTTCAGTTCGTCAAGTATTGAGTAGTAACCAATGTCACGTTTATCTAGTCTTTTAGTACTGATCAAATTCTAACAATCAAGTTGTGACGTGGCCATTAATCTTATTGATTCAATATCTCGGTCACTATTTAGTGATTATTCAATCAGGAATATCAGTCCTACAGTAGCTGCTCCAGTAGCTCAACGATATTCCAAACTGTAAAGTTGAACGGCACGGATTCGAATCCCATAAGGAATGTCATCACCATGACGATTATAGGTATGCGCCTTACTGACGAGTACTAACTAGTATGAAACGCAGGTCCATAGTTTCCTCCTGAATAACTACGATCACGTAACATCTCATTAGTGCTTTACAAAGAACAGGGTGATCTTGTCCGTTTTATCGCTACTCTATCGATAATAACTTACATGTTTCATACAAAACTTAAGGGTGTTTTTCATCACAAATTGATATTAGGCTCAGTGACTTATTGAAAATCAAGAAGTACTTGGGAGTTGTCTCGCCGTAGTTTGAGAATTCTTTGGCAATAAGTACTAACGAATCCATACATAGAAATGAATTCATTAACTAGCAAATCTCGCCGGAAGAGTATTCTATCGGTACTCGTCTGTTTGATCTTAGTATAATTATGCTGAATATTCCCTGTTGATGGATAAGTTGTAAACTAGATCGAAACAAATGTTCGGTTCTTTTCGATTAAATTTACAGAAATATGGTATGTAGTAAATGACATTGGTAAAAATTAGATAACACTTACATGGCATATGCAATCATCATGGTAAATCTTTGTGAAGGAGAAGCATTAAACAGATAGGTAAGGACATTAAATGGCCACCAATTCCAATCGGTTGAAATGGTAACATTCGGTCTATTAAGATTAAACTTATTACTATTATTAATATTATTAGTATTGACTGTTTCGTTATTGTAAGGTTTAGTATGTTGATAAACTGAAGTATTATTGCGTTTCATAGGAATATTTGAAGGGGTTGAAGTGGAATATAGATTGTTTACAATTGGGCTGGTAGCATTGAAATCATCATTACGTTGAGTAACAACGTTGGATCCAATATCGACATTTTTATTTGTTATTTCTTCATTTAATTGATTGAATCCAATGGGAGATGGTTTACGAACGTTCAGACTCAATTTACGAATTGAAGATTCTGAATTGTCAATAAAAATACAAACAGTACATAAATATAAAACTTACACTGATTCGATATGTTTCACAGAATAAATATAAATCAAATGAGAAAAACTTTTGATGAACCTAATTCACTAAAAAAATATCGAGTTCTGTGCAACAACATTATTATACTCTATGGCTAGGAATCTGAGTTTCATTGAAATAATTAGCTGATCAATGTTAGACCACCGTTGAAAACCTAGAAGCACTGGATGGCTGTTTCGTCGTACTATGGGACTCCTCAGCAGTGCACATCCACGACCCTGAACGCGGAACTATAGTTCTTCCAGGTTTCCAATGGCAGTCTAACATCGATCGACTAATGATTTCATTCAAACTCAACAAACTCCACAATCCTATAAAGCTTTTACATACTAACGTCATTAGATCTGAAATTTTACATAGGGAATTTATGATGTATACATGTCCCAAGTTCTACGCTGCGTTTGAATGACTAACTAACTGGGCTTAAAGTTAAACAGGTTGTAGCTAATCTGAAGAGAAGGAAAGCAACAAGATTTAATAGATTGAATACTTAGTGTTAAGCTATTCAACCATATTCAGAGACAAGAATCTGAATTTTTGTTCAAGTGAATTAAAATTTTTATGGGTTGTGGTTAGCAGTGAAATCTGTAACGAGTGTTTCATCCCACCTGGGACTCATCTTTTATTATAAGTGCTTGTCTTATTCCAGTGTTGGTGCCCAAACAAGAGCTCGAACCCGGTACCCTAAACTTCAAACACCCAGTGCACTATCCATTGAGCTACTGTGTTTGGATAGTTACTAGTTTGGTTAAACAGGTATGAATTCGATTCGATATACTATAAAGGCTTGAATTATTAGGTGACGTATGTGGAATATCTAAGCATCCAAATAACAAACATAATTGTATATAGCGTCAGGATAAAAATGGAACAATTATATGACAAAAGCATTAGGACATCAATTGATGTGTCTCTGATGTCTACTAAACTCATGTAAATAAAACCAGTCGTTGAATGTTTACAACCAATTACTAAGTTATGAATGAAGTATCATTACGGAAGGCTTTATAGAAAACTTCATGATCCCCACATTAATTACATCGATAGTAGCATTAACAACAATGATGTATTAGTCCATTAACTGTTATCACTAATATATCATTGGTACAGGGAAATGGATCAAGGCATTCATTCATTGAAAAGAAAACAATCGATACATCAAAGTACTGCTTACAATATTGACAATATCAAATCGAATTTAGACATTTATAAACAGTTTACAATTCATGAACATCATATGAAATGAAGTCACATTAGGAAAAAGTACAAAATTTTATCGATACGTTAGTATGTCAGAAATATATATAAATATAACAGTGAAGGATTTAATAATCTATATACTTTACTTGTTGACTAAACAAAATACTATCTTATAACGGTTGATGGTTCATATTTGTTCTGTTTAACGATCCACGAAGATAAAGTACAAAACTAAAGGGACATATATTCCTAAATATGAAAAATTATTTTGTAAAAGTAATCAAAACTATTTGATTGTTTAGAATAACATCACAATTTAGTGTACATTTTTTACAGAGTATCAATTCAAGTTGTGATAATCATAACTAACGGAGTTGAAGAGAAAAGGCTAATCCAAGTATAAGTGAAAATCCTAAGCGTACAAATAAACATGAAAATAGAGTAACGCCAAAGTGCCTCCAAATGCCTTGGTACGACCGAGAGTAGAGAGGGCCAGCTCTCCCTCTCAAATGCTTTCAATTGGCCACGTGCATACAATCACTGCAAGGGAAGTCCTACTTATTGCCTTCTCGCGGCATTACTGTTGTTTATGAAACTGAGAGGATGAAAAGCGAATGTTCGGCGCTTTAAACCAGTTGTTGGATACAGAGAATCCACCTAGAGGAGTTGGAAAACCCTCATTCCAAACCAGTGGTGTACATGGGCTCCAGAATCCTAAAGAAACAAATGGCGTATTAACCAATTATTGGTCACCTGCTACTATGGGACTGCATCTCCTGACGTTGCTCCACTGCCATGTGGATTAGACCTTTAGGTCAAAGGCTCGGAGTGTGGTCCTCCTAAGAAAACCACCAGCCGGAAAGTATTCCAGCCCTCACATAAATCGAATGATTTATATGGCGCATATCTGTTTGCCTCCTTGTACCAATCATACTAATGAACTAATCACTATAGAAAAGGTGAGTACAAAGTCAGTGTGTATATATCAATCTAGCGGATCGTTTATGAGAACTACATTAAATAATAAGATAATGACTATGAACTGTACTATAATTAATTTCAATGACGAAGATATCATTAAATAGGTGAAACTATATTATACGGATGACTTAAATCGACTCAAAGTGATATGGAATTTTACCCGGTTAATAGCAGATCACAATGTAGAGTTCATGGTCAGAGTTATGTTTGAGATACACTAAGGTTAACCATACACTCTGACTGTAATCCTAAACATTAACCCTGTAACCTAAAAAAATAATTTAAAACCCCCCTAGCCCTAACTCTATTAACGTAACTCGGAATTTTAATCGTAAACCACGATACTAACCTTAAACATTAACGGTTACGAACCTATAGGTAACTTGGAAGAGTTCATTTATGATGTGAAAATAGTAAATTCCATTACAAGTTCTTTGATTTTGTATCATTACCCATTTATTCATATTTGCTACTAAAACACGTTAAAATTTCAAGATCATCTGGAAGTATACCTTAATTTTGCGCTCCAACAAACCAACTTTAAATCAGCACAGAAAGAGGCACAACTAAAGGTAAAGTAATCACGAAAGGTAAAGATAGCCCACTTTTCTCCTCAAAATGCTCTCGTATGGCCACGCGTGTATATTCATTGACAGGGAAGTTCTGCGCACTGATTTCTCGGTGTTGTTTACTTGATTGAGGGGACGGAAAGTGAATTCCTGTAAGTTAAACCGGGTTGATGGATCCAGCTAGAAAAGTTGATAAATCCTGACTCCAAACTAATGGCACACATGGTCTCCAGGATCCTGAGGAAACAAATGGCGTATGAACCTATTTCTGATCACTGCCTACTATGAGACCGCATGTCCTGACGTTGTTCCACTGCTTCGTGGATTAGACACCTGAGTCAAAGGTCAGGGGCAGTATCCCAACCCACTTAAAAATCCAATGATTTGTGTGGCACATATGTATTTTGGTGCCCCATTGTACCAATAGTTTGTGTTTAAATAAGTAAAACAGCCACAGAGATATAGAAAGAGTAAGTATTAACAGGATGAAAGCAATGCATATAAAGTGTCATTTGATTAATAACTAACAAGGGAGTCTGAATTACGTATTTCATCTTATTTGACACTTATTAGATGTAGGATATAGCTAGCTGCACACGAAGACTGACCGATCAAATTGAGTTCTAAATTAAAACGAGGAAATACAAACTTTACCAATTAATAATGAACACGAACTAGTGTACATATATATTTATGTACGTTAATTACCCACCTTGTTTTTTTACACCAACAACGCTCTCCGTTTCACTATTGCTAATACTTCCTGTGGCACCACCACTGGTACTTGTTAAACTGACAGTAGTTGAACCTTTTGAAATGAGCAAACGATTGTAGAGATCACTTATAATTGCATTTGGGTGAGCTAAAGGATCATTAGTGTTATTATTATTGTTAACGAATAATCTGTTAGCTGGCGAACTTCCACACGATGTAGAAAAACACTGGAAAGTAAGCAGAGAAAGAAGTAGAATATAAATATAATACACTACACACATGTACACGAATAACGGGTCAATTTATCTCAGTATTGTTATTTTTATTGGTGAAAAGGGGGAATTAAAATGTTTTCCTTCCTATATACATAGATGAAGTTGGGAAAGCTTGATGCCAATCGCTACTCTGAAGTGGGGTAAGTCCAGAGTTGTCGAAGGTGTTCACTTTGTGTCTGACGATAGCATTCATGAAGTATTTGATTCCACTCAAGTATAGGTCTCGAGAAATAAACTCGTAAAAGTTTGTAAAATTCTTCCTATATATACTTGCGTAGTACAGTACCTATGAATTCGTTAACTGAGATGACCTTAAAAGAGTACTGATTCATCTTTGACTGGTTTGATGGTTGGCTGGTATTATATTTTGAATATTATTTGAATAGAATAACTCCATCTAAACGCTGTCCTAATTCTCCCTGAAATCTTACCCCTACCTAAACTAACACAAGAACAAGATTTCGCTGATAATGTTCCATATTTCGAAATGAATTCTTAGAAAAAATCCTTTTCAGTCCAGCACATTTACTCTAGTGAAGTGTTTCGACTAGACACTGTTTAGAGTTAATAGAATAAGAACTATTAGTCTACGTATACTGTATCATTCATTATTATTGATTACTCATATTCTACAGTTTCATTTATTATTCGTTAGGTTTACAGAAAATTATTTCATTGAATCTTATTTAGCACTCAAAATGCATGCTAACAAACATAGTCCAGAACATTCTCCAAAAGATATTACATAATTGTTATCACTAACTGACAACAAACCTAATAGACATTTATGATACACTGAAGTTGAGTGGAAAAAACGTGCTAAATGTGGATTAGCCTATATATATATTTACCGAAGTGATTGCTCCTACCTAACATTTGACATCAAACATTTCTGTGGGACATAACTCCGTTACTTTATTTCCTTATTAACAACTTACGAGTTTACCTACATCTGAAAACACCTTTTCGCATTCATGATGTTAACTTGGGGGACAAATTATCAGACTCAAGACGCTTTATATTTCGCAACTACAATTCAACCAGGAGTCATGTTTTATTAACCCGAAATTTCTCTAAAAACAACTGAGGCTTCCTAGTCCTAAAACATTATAATTATTGTGGTTTGGAGTTGAAAAAAATGGATCGAAATGGCTATCCGGCGAGACCATAATTTGTAGACGGACCAATCACGCATAAGATAACAGTTCTCGGATTTTGGTGCGAAGTTCACTCATCATTTTGGCTAAATAGAGTTTTAGCAGGTCAGTTAGTGATGAAAACCACAAATATAATTCATAACATTAACCATCAACTGTAAATCATAATTTGAATTCCTCATACAAGTTAATAACCCTCATTTGGTCCTAGTTATTAGGTGGACACTATGAAGGTCAGTTTAGGGTTGCTCAAATGTCGTCCGTAAATTATAGTCTCACCGGCTATCCTACACAGAGAATTCTACAGTTTCAATATTCTAGGGTAAATACTAGAGCTGTTACAGTGATAAAAATAACAGCAAACACCACTAGAAAGCGAAAGCAATTCGAAATAATTTAAAACTGGAATAATTTTGGCTGGAATAACATATCTAATGAATTCTGGTTGCATTGCAACTTGCTGTTGATAAAAGCCTAAGGGGTTGATGAATGAATGGTTGATTACGGGCGTAGATATCTAAGGTCTTCTATCCTGAAGATTGAACTACTTAAACCTTGAAGTCTAATCACATAGATCTTCTTTGACTAGAAAGTGAAGATGTGCTCTTAGGGGAAAAGACTTCTGCCATTTTATTAAGAAATCAAACACGAACATAGTAATGAGATGTTATAATTTTGTTTACTGCAGTAACAAATCAGTTTTTCTTTAAGACGAAAATTAGACTGTCCGAAAACGGAACGAGAAGTGGCCGATGGTGTGTTCAAAACGTGGGCTGGCAGTTTTCCCGAAAAGTTACTACTTAAGTCTATCAGAATACCTAAACATGAAACGCTAATACATAGTACTGGTTAGCCAAGCGAGCACTAAGTATGGAGAATACATCAACTTTAAATCAAAAGGAGACTAGAATTACTGAAGACAAAAAGCGCCGTACTTTGTAAGTAATAGAACACATAAAAACTTACCTTCTCTTTTAAAATGACCTCCCAATAATTGCGTAGAAAAGCTATAGCTGAGTCTGATCGTTCAAAGTTAGCCAAAGTGTACGTCTCCTAGAAGATAATAAATATTATTTGTAGTTAAGATCAAAAATAAACCTTAAACTATACAAAGTGCAACAAATGTTGACAAAAAAACTTGGTTTACAAAACTTACGTTACTAGTGGTGAGTATATTTACATAGTGTTCATTTTGGACTTTAAGTTCAACGATTTGACTGTAGAGGAGTGCTGTCTAAACGAAAACTATGATGAGTAAGACCACATACCAGTATTTTTCGCTTCGGACGATGGACAAGATTTAAGGCCGAATGACAAACGTAAAGCTTAACAGGAGTATTTATATTCTGGCTCATTAAATCACACTTATAAGCTTCAAGGATGAGTGTGCGATTTTACATGACAAACCTTTAATTACAGCATCATTTTTAAAATACTTTTGCCGTATTTTCTTTTGCATTGCACTAGATCTTACAGGATCGGCATTGCTGGAGAGCAACTTCTGAGGTTCGGAGTCCTGAATCATATTCACTGTTTGATGGAATACGTCACGATATAAATCCAGCGTATGACAAATGGTGTGCTGACGAGACCACCAGAAGGCTCACAAGACCCTGTAGTCAATCATTATAAATGCGACCAGTCGCCCAATGTATCACCCGATCGACCTTTTACAGCCTTGACGTATGAAGGACAGATGGTAATTGATTAGTACAAACAAAGAGTTCATAAAACATTTATTTCGTCACTGTGACTCTAATAAACTAGGCATGGAACTGCTTGATGGCTAAAAGCTTTATTGTAATGGTGTTTTAGAATTCTTAACATTGAAGGTTGCAAGTACGTTGAAAAATAACTATATGATTATACTAGTGGTTGATCAGTACAACAATCCTTCATTCTTCAGTGACTATGGCTCAGCACCATGTGAAAGATGATTGTTTGTAAAGTATCCTCCAGCAGGAGATTGACTCTGGTCATGAACTCACTAATAAAGACTATTATTATCTGACCGCAACGATAAATATTTCTAGTCGCAGTTTTATACTGAGCGATCAAGATAGGAGTATCCCACTTGTCGTAAACAATGTAAAATCGGAGGTTGGAATTTTAGTAGCTGTCGGATGATGTGTTTTGAAGGTAGTGGAGTACTCGACTAGAGAAAGCAGGAATGTAGTGTCCAAACCAAGGCAGGAAGTACATCATCACCTAATGTCCAAGTAAACAAGAAGCTTATTCTTTGAAGGTTGACCTAGCTATTTGTCTGTAACAACGAAGCCGATCAATTTAATTCTTCGTGTAAAAAGTGAGGATTCAGACTTAAAAGAACCTCTCGCTACCTATTTTGAGTTCGACTTACTGACTATTACAGTTGTGTGTTGTTGGTGAATTATCGATTTTATTAGGCTTCACGTACCTTCTGTCGAATAATCTCATTAATAACAGCGTAGATATTAAAACTTGAAAAAAGATATTTTGATAAAGCATATTTGATGCAAAACTTCTCCAATGCCGTTCCAGGGTTACTGTTGGTCTCAATCACTGATAAAGTAGGGGAGATGCATTATCACACAAACCGTGCAAAAGGAACCTTATTGAAAATACACTAGCCATATCACTTGCACGTGAACAGTAGGCGGCAGAATACACAAAGCTTTCAGATATATGAAGACATCAACACAGAGGGTAATATGGTTACCTGATTTTCATAAGTATGTGAAAAATACTGAAAGTAGATAAGTACGTGAATATCTGCTTGGGAACATATGTATAAGATTCTCTACACAGCGAGCGAGTATTTGACAGATCCGAACGAAAAGTAACTCTGAAATAAGACTATTTTACAGATACCGGTCCAGTTCGCCAAAAACGACGGCAGTCATCTGCTGATACCACAAGGTGTACGGTCATAAAGCACGGTAGTGTACAAGACTGTGTAACTTTAAGTCAAAAAAATCAGGAAACATCTAGAAACAGGCAGACAGAAATAACTGAGACATGCACTTTTTCTTTTTCCTTTTCCAGGACGGCTGGAAAAGACGATAAAAAGAACGATGAGGTTTACAAGGAACCGAAAATTTTCATTGTACATTATTTTTTTACTATATTGTATTTCATGGTCCCTTATTGTAAGTAAAGACGACCAGACGCTGTTAAACCTAGCGAGCTATCAGAAGAGTGTTTACCAACGACAAACTCGTTGGGTTTAAACTTCTGGCCGGCCACGTCTTAGGGTCATTACTACCCTACTAGGGGGAGGAGTGATCTGTAGAGGTAAATAAATCCCCAAAATAAATAGCTCTGTAAGTTTTCGACATTGGAAGCTGACCACATAAGTTTTAGTGGGCTCACCTAGCTGAAGGCGCTCGGCCATGCATTCGCACCAGATCACGAGTGGAAACGCCGTGCTCAACAACCTCTGCAATCGCTAGCCAGATTAGATCAGACGATCCTCGATATATTGATAGCTTATCAAATATATCTTCGAACCCCCTCATTTCTGTCTTTTGATTTCACTTGGTGGGTACGCTTCATAATAGAAGGTGTTACTGGTTAAAGCGTTGTCAAAATCCGAATACCTGTGACATCTTCAAGATCAAGAGAGATCAGACGAAAAACGTACACCAAGATAAATATCTTTTGACACTTGATCTAAGAATCTCCAGTGTAACAATATTTATGGAATCTCAACAGATTGTAAAAGCGTTATTTATGTCTCAGACTAGATTTAACAGCTTGACATCTAGACGGGGTAAGTATGAGACCATTAACAGACAGACCACCACTCAATACGAGACAAGAGCTCATTCATTTCAAGGGGATGTGAAGAGGCAGAAATCAGTATTCATACAGTGAAATCTTCCGTATATTTCACAGAAGTATCTTTGTGGAATACAGCAGATCATGCAGAAAAAAAGGTAAAAGGGGAAAGAAAACGACAGTTCTTTGTGGCACATCCTCATAAGAAAGTGGAGATGCCGAACACTTTCCTCCAAACGCAGCGTACAGTCCTTTTCCATAGGGGTAGAAAATTAGCCATTTGGTTGTTCAGCTGTCAGTGTTGACTCTGATTAACTTGTTAAGAAAAAGTTGTCTTGGAATAGAGCGAAAGGCAGAAAAATAGCACAGAAAACCGCATCAAACACATTCTTTGCTTTTTTCCAAGATGAACATTATAATATAATGTAAGACAGCAACAATATCTAAGTTGCTTCGTTTGTATTTGTAAGCAAGTTGAAACGGATCAATGTGCTCTTTTACTGTGGGTTGAAGTAAGAGTATCAATGATTTTTCCATTGTTTGAAAAAAGATGAAGTCATTGGTATGGGTCTAAAATTCACTTTCTTATCGCCAGGTACTTTCCTAGGTATTGGGATTATTTTTATCTTTCTCCACATTCTCTGTATGAGATAGTTTGAGAAAGATCTATTTAAGATGCTCATGGATAGATAACACAGAACGTCAGTACACTTTTTCAAAAAGGTTTAGGATCTTTTCATGTCCTAAACACTGGGATGAGTTAGGTGACTGGGGACATTTTCGGACGTCATTTTAGGTGAGAATCGGTACAAAACTATTCTTCAAACCTGTGAATGTATGAAGCATGACATCAGATGACTGATGTACAAGAAGACATATTTCATTCCCAAACATTCAGATGGTTATCACTTCTGACTGTCACCAGTATGTTCTTTAAATAGTTTCCACTTGCTTGAAGGGTTATTACAAGATCAGAGTTTCTGAATAAACAATGAGTTCAGACATCTAATCTCTAGGTTTAATAAACAATTTAGCTTTCGGAATTCAATTGAGATTTTTTCCTTGTACATTTTCTCTATTTCCGTCCGCAATAATTTTAGTTTTGAAGATGTGGGTCCACCAAAACCTTCAAAAATAATTTCAGTGGGGCAACAAGTGTTTTCCAATGATTCTTCTTTAAGTAATCACCAATTGGTGGCACAAAACATGTTTTTCAAATTTTGGACAATTCCAGAATTTGACTTTCCTTATCTAATGTTAGGACTTACTCTTTACAATCTCTCCATACACTTTAAATAGAAAACGAACTATACAATGATCAGAACTAGACAATGGATCGTGTTTACGAGTCACATGTGTTCCCACATCCCCAATGAAATTTCAGCGCGAATAGGAATTCAAACGGTTGAGAAAATCTACTACATTCTGATGACCTAGTGATGAAAGGAAGGTACAGTCACATGAATTTAAAACACTAAATGAAACTGAAAATAAAGCACAAAGTGCAGTGATATAAAATTCAGTGAGTTCATCAGCGAAAAAGAATAGTGCAGATGATGTGCTGTCGGAAGTCACAAAGATGTTGGCAACAGACGTAATCGTATTTATTCAAGTGTTTGGACTTCATTTTAAAGTTGAACAGTCGATAAAGCCGTCCGGAAAATTGAAACATGCAAAAACAGACTGGCACCAGATCACATTTAAAAGGGCATTATGATGATTAGAAGTATTTGAATTATAGTTAAAATCAAGAATCCCGGAAATAACGCAATGGGATCAAGAAGTAGTCGATAAGCACGAACGAATGTACTGTATTTGGAATTAGAAATCAAGCATTCAACCAGTACAAAGAAGTCATTCATTCAAACACCACAGGTATACACCGTTTCCCATTGCTTCACGGTACAGCTTGAGACAATACGATATTTCAGAAGTTCATTCTTTTTATCCCTGAATTTATTTTTGAAGCAGGACCATGATTGATGCCTATTTGGCGACTACCAACCGTTGAATAACAGCACCTTACCGTATAAATATCATATTCCAGATTTCAGGATTGGTTTTTAGCTCTACGTTGTAGGAATGTTTTCTCTAGATTGGACCTGGTCAGAGGGTACGACCAGATACCGGCGGCACCTAAGAATGTGGAGAAAACGACCATCATGACACATTTTAGTCTGTTTGAGTTCGGAATAAATTATGGATCTCAAGCAATTCGGTGAATTATTGATGAAATGGCTCGAAGAGTAGACTTCGTATTCAATTGCAATAACGACGTTCTCAACGCCAGTTACTCCATTGATGAACATGTTCAACGTCCACTTATTTCGCTTGACGTTTTAAAAGGTTACGGTTGTAATATACCGTGGTTTTCGTATGAACTTGTATTTGGAGTCGGGTCGCGGTTGACGTTGATCACCACTACAGGAAGACTACTTACCAGTTACCAGGTTAGACCCCTCCTTAGGCCAAATATCAGAAGGCAGTTGAAGGTTATGGTAAGATGTATTTGTTGGCGATCTCGTGGTGTCGAAATAATAACGAAGTCGTGCCAAAGTTCACAAGCGGGACTACTGAGAGTACGAGAGTTCGTACAAGGTCACAAACAACGGAAGAGTGTTTTTTTAGTACACTTAGACAAAAAGCTACAGTAAAGCAATCACTCGTACAGTTGGCTATAATAATAGTTGTTTCGATTATACCAATTGCGTTTTCCTCATAAAATTAGGTCACTACAAACTAATGATTCTTTTGTACTTGATGTCTGTCTAATTTCGGATTCTAAATGCAGTACGTTCGTTTGTGATAACCCAGTTCCGTTTGGTTTGAATTGCGCAATTTCGGGAATTCCTAGTTCATATAAGGATCCAAATACTTATAAATATCACATTGGCATCACGATGGAGCCTGTGACGGACTAGTTGGACATACA